GACGTGACCGTACACAATGCACAAGCATACGCAATGGCTAAATTTGAAATCTTTAGCTTTCACAAACACACAGAATACCCCTGCAATGTTTCAGCTTTCTATCCTTACCTGGTTCCCAAAACTGTTTTCCGTCAAAGAAATTTGCATATTTTTTTCGAGAGTCCGTACGCGGGGTCTAGGCAGGTATGGGAGAATATCTTAAAACGGGAAGTTGACACACGGAATGGGAATATGGTCCCAAAATTTCAGCCTCCCAGCTTTCCTGGTTGCTGAGTTGAAAGTGGATGACAAAGTTCACTTGCTTCCGAACACACACACGGGCGACTTCTCGACAACTGTAGCAAAAACGTATAAAAAACTTAATAAGTTTTTGTAATTTTACAGAAATTGTATAAATTCGAGCCCATTCTGTTGATGTATCCCTGGTGCTAATTACCCGGCTTTCTTTGCTCGTCCATCTGGAAAAAATCACTAGATCCCTTCGTCCTCTCCTCCCATTAGCTGTATGATCTTTCAACTTGGGCCAGGAAAAGCAATTACTCAAAATCAAAGTACCAGGAACCAAAAGTACCGGATCCTTTTTGGAACTAAAATATGTTCGAACTTATCAGAAAACCTACAAAAGACAGTTACCAAAAAAAAAAAATTCGAACCAAAAAAAGTTACCAAAAAAAAAAATCAGAGAACCTCGTGCATTCCTCGACATTATCGGGATTTTTGTCCGGATGCCATTTGAGTGCCAGTTTTCGGTACGCTTTTTTGATTGTCTCATTATCAGCTGTACGTTCCACTTCAAGTACTTCATAATGACATCGCATTGTAAATTCAGCTGTACTAAAAAACAAAAATAGTAAAATTGGAATGTTTTTCCACTTACTTAAATCTTTCTCTTTTCCCTTCCTTTTCCCTTTCCCCTTCACCCTACTCTTACTCCATCTATTCCCATTATCAAAACTTCGTTTCCCCTGTTTCTTTCTGTTATCTCCCTCCTTTTTCTCCTTTAAGAACTGCTACCGTTATACTGACGAGGTCCTGTTGCACAGTGTTAAGACGTATGTGACTTAATGGACCAAAAATCTTATCTCATCCTTATCTCCCTCTCTCATACTGTAATCTATCCTGCCTTCGCAATTTACTGATGAAATTTACTGTACTGG